CCCCAAAACCCCAAAACCCCAAAACCCCGTTTGCAAAAATGAATTAGCATGTTTTATTTATAATAATTTACATTAATTAAATAATTTGCTATTGATGACGATCTTTAAAAAGATAAAAGTTATACTAATGTTGTTTTTCCTAATAGCATATGCCTAAAATGTGCAAGGCTAAACTTCCATTTAATCCCAAGGTGCAAGTGTGACTATTTATGAATCTTTTTCCAACTATGTGAGAGATTTCTTCAATTCTATATTTTCTTCTCCCGCTCCATCTCCATAAGCCAGCAATACCACTTCAAATACAAATAGCACAATCATTCCTTAAACTCCTCCTATTGAAAAATAGAACATCACAAAAGTAATGAATTAGACAACTGTGTTGCAAAATACAACAACATCAACTGCAACAATAGTTGAATAATAGCCAATCAATACTAATTCAAGCTAGAATCAAACTATCATAACGATAAGAGAGCAAATAAATTAAACTTTACAGCAATCTCAAGTCTAGTTTGTAAATGATTCTGCACAGATAATTAGTAACCTAAGCAGTAATATATCGAGCATTCTTAGTTAATACTAATGTAATACGACCTGTGTAAATGAATGCACTCTTACTTAAATTGGAATCAATTCTAGAATTCAATGTCTTGAACTTTGCCAATGCAGTGCAGTAACCCTAAATCATACAAATAACTCTTAAAACCTCAATATTACAAATCAAAGTATTAAACAATTCTTAAATCAATCAAACATTAGAAGTTAAATAAACTAATTAGACTACTACTTTGGATCCCAACCAAACAAAAGTGATTATTGAAAACAATACTAATATTATTCCAGGATTAAATTAATCTCAACCTACCGGGTAAAATTTGACAAATATCTCTACTTTGATATTGAATTCTACAAATGATTTGCTGATTACAGGATAAAATAGCTCAACTATTCCAGTTATTACTCAATAATAAATTAATTCATCTACTAATTAAAATGTTTCAAGTCTCGAGATATCACTAAATTAAACATAGAATAATAACACTGCAACCTCTAATGTCATTACTTAAAATAATACAGCTATTATTTAGAATCAAGAAATAATACCTCAATTGAATTAAGTAAATAACTCATCTAATGTATCATTACCAACAAATGAGACAACTTAATCAATTAATCAAAATAACCAAACCTAAGGCACTCCAGCCTAAGTTATAACATATAATACAACTATCAATATTACTAAAATAACTATTAATTAAACAGTTCCATAATAAATTGACTTGAATGCAACCAATTCAATAAATAGTAGTAATTAGAATTAGTCTGTCTAGCCAATGTCTTTGATTTAGGTTAACTCAGCACCATTCAGCGCTTAAAATACTTTAATCTCTACTAATCCTAATGATTAGAGTATGACTACTTAATAATCATTAGATTAATTTAGAAGTCTCTTAATTGAAGACATTCAACTAATAGTTTAGAAAGAAGTAGCTAGGTAACTTAGCTAAAGTCAACTTAAATAATAGAATTAAGCTGATGTTTTAACTTAGATTACACCAATTAATTAGATTTAGAGTGATAAAATTACCGATCCACTAATTAAAACTCAAAATTAAAGTAATCCTAGTATCCATATTGGAGATTCAGTAAACGTTAGAGTAATTGAGAATCTTAATTAGGTTGTCATCATTAATCAAGGATAATAGCCTATTTAAATTTATCAATCTAGTTGGTCTGATAGCAATGTACAGCCTAATAACTATAGTTCCATGCATAATCCCTAACAGTCTTAGCCAGCTTTAGGTGTAAGTCAAGTTTCTTATACTTCAGGATAAAAATCATAATCCATCTAATAAGTGGCAAGCTCTCCAAATACTCTAACTAACAAGTTAAATTCGGAAGTAAATAATTCATTTAGCTAAATGAATGATGCAAGGATGAAATAACTAAATTTATTGGATAGCTACTTAGTTCTATAAGCAGTTGAACTTAACTGCTCAACTTTATGTGTTTTCAATTGTCTCTATATTGCTACTACAATGCAATCTAAGGTTACTTGTATGGATACATGTCTTTGCTTTGGAAACAATACTCTAGATTAAAGTTAAAATTCACAACCAGTCACTGCAGCTCCTTCAATTGCAAAGAATATTAGTTTGATATAGCTTGAGAAAAGTCATTATAAGGATTAGGGAATGATTGTAGGAGTAAATCTTATTTTGATAATACTCTTCCTCGGATGCATTATAATATACAATGAACACAAAAAGAGATAGTAAAACACTGGAAATGATTTCTAATTTGATGAGGAAGTTTAATATTACTCATTGATGAAGAACTGATATATCAGAGATATTAAAAAGCTCTAGTTAATATCTAAATTGTAAGCTGCAATAATTAAGCATAATTTCGTTAAATCTATTGTAATGACTGATTGATTTATTAATATCTTAAAATCTATTAAGATCTAATTTAAAATATATACGAAACATACTATGGAGGCCTAAACCAACACTTCAGGAACTAAAATTCCTAAACTCACTGAGGAAGTCTGCTTCGAGCTACTCTATTTCAGCAAGCTCACTCAACTTATCAATGTAACTCCACTGCCATTAACCCTAGCTAGAATTCAGAGTATATGCAGAAGGTATTGAGTCATTTGAGAGATTCATTCTCAATCGAGGAAGGTGGCTAGCCATCGACGTAGTCTCACGACCCCAATTATCTTGTCCTTGATGCATATCATACAGCCACAGTTTCCTTCAAAAAGTTGGAAGCCCTTGTCAGAGTAGATAAGGGCAGCGATTCTGATGATGCCATTCAGGAGATTACCGATTATGTAGAGAAAATGCACAACTCTAAGAAATCCAAGAGCTCTCAGGATCTTGTCGCTCTCTAATCTAATCTAGTGAAGGAGCCAGTGCGCATTTACGTTGATGGAGGCTTTGACTTGATTCACTCAGGCCATTATAACGCAATCAGACAGGCAAAGGCATTAGGAGATATTTTAGTAGTTGGAGTTAACTCAGATGCAGAGATTTTGAGAAATAAGGGACCAACTGTCTTGACATGTAAAGAGAGAGCAGACATCTTAAGAGCATGTAAATGGGTAGACGAGGTCCACGAGGATACTGAGTATACTGTTAGAATCGAAACTCTCGACAGATATAACTGCCAATACTACGCTCATGGTGATGATCCAGTGTTTGATGCTGATGGAACTGATATGTGCGGTCTTCTTTCCTAAATTGGCAGATTCAAAATGTTTAAGAGGACTGAGGGTGTTTCAACAACCGATATTGTTGGAAAGCTACTATTATTAACTAAGGATAATTCTTCAAAGGGAAGAGGTAGAGCAGGCTCATTTGAGAAGCCTATGATCTCAACTGAGTATGTAAAGGAAGTCAGAAGAATCGAGAAGGAAGAGGTTAAGAACGAGAACACGAATCTTTCATCTTTAGCCCCAGAAAGACAAACTGCTTCAGCTATTAGCATTCCAACTTCTCATTTCTTAGCCACTACTAGAAGAATCATGCATTTTTCAAACAATAGGGAGCCAAAGGCAACTGATAGAGTTGTGTACATCTCAGGCAGTTTTGATTTACTTCATAATGGCCATATTGAGACTCTCAGAAAAGCAAAGGCTTAGGGAGACTTCTTATTTGTAGGCGTTTGGCCTGATGAAACTGTTAATTTCTTCAAAGGCAGCAATCATCCTATTCTATCCTTACACGAAAGAGTCCTTATGGTTCTTGCCTGCAAGTATGTAGATGATGTCGTTGTTGGAGCTTAATATCAAATTACCAAGGACTTGATTAAGAGTCTAAATATTCAAAAGGTCGTTCAGGCTAAAACTAAGGAAGACATCATCCTTGAAGAGCACGCTCACATTGATCCAAATTAGGTAGCAAAGGAAATAGGCATTTTTGAAGAATTCGACATTGAAACCGATGTTACTGTGGAGACTATTGCTTAGAGAGTTGTTGAAAATAGAGAGAAGTACAAGGCTAAATACGATAAGAAAATTGCTCAGCAAGACAAATACTACGCCCAAGACAAGCAATACGTTGCAGAGCTATGAAATTGAACATATAACCGCAGTTTTGCATCCTCCCCCATTCATTTATTTCTCGTTTTAATTTTCAATCATTTAGCATTCCCTATTTCAGCATGACGGGGTTTTGGGGTTTTGGGGGGTGAACTCATCTAGCACCTCTGCAGGCCTGTA